AAATTGTGAAAAAAAGACAGTTATTTGTTTATTTCATACATCATAGTTTATACCATCAAGTTATGCATCTCCCATGATTCATGTGAATCATATTTTCGATAAATATGCATCTTAGTCAGTTCCCCTTTGATTTGACTTTCTTATTATCTTTCCCCGATTTAAATTCTTCCCCTAAGGAAAGTTTCAAATATTGTAGGATCTTTGTGGGTGAAAAATCCCAAAGATTTTCTTCTGAGGTGCAACCACTAATATCATTTTTCTCTATCTGCTCTGAACATACTTTTTCAATATTGAATTTAAATGCCACCATTAAATCGCCCCTGTACCAAGCAGTTATACAAAATGTGATTAGGAGCCATGGTACGATGAATAAGAGAGCAGGTTGTCCATGATGGAAATATATCATAACTGCCATTGTATTCGCGAGAGAGATCGTATAAGAAATAATTGCAACATTGAAGTAGAAATTTCCTCGTTTTACAAAATCACGAGAAAAAATTAATGTCTGGCTAATAAAAATGCCAGGGACAACCAAATCCCCAAGGCCTAGCAGACTCTTCGTAGAGTGATCACCGAAAATGTCATTTGGAAAGACCAACTTAATAGGCCCATCTATTCCACTTGCTACAGTAATCATGGCATCAGATCCAAAGACCCAAAAAATGTCATAGAAAAAAAGACAAATCAATAAAACAAAAGAGTTGAAAAAATTGTCAAACACTATTGTTTCGATAGCGCTAATTCCCATAACAAACGCCAGAATATTACTTGCAATCCAATTTCCACACAAAAAGCTGAGTGTTCCAATTATAACAGAAAGTGTGCCTGCAAGAATACTTGACTTTAAGTATAAACTCATAAACGTCTTCAATGAGATCGTGGCTAGTATGTTGATACCAAGAGAAATCAATGCGATGAAGTATTCTTTTGGAAGTAGCCGAAGAAGAACGTACATGGATAATAATGTAACAGACCCATTGAGGGGGATAGCAAAGGCGTCGGATAAATCAAGAACTCCCAAACGTTCGTTATGAGGGAGTAATTTTCGGAGCCGGTGAGCTCCGACAAACACAACGGTCACTGCCATTGCTAACAAAGAACCCAAGGCAATGTATGGTTGGCTCATATTTGGAGACTAGGATGCCCCTAAATTAATCAAAAGAAAGAATAAAATTGTATACCAAATGAAAACTTGAAGAAAAGGAAAGAATAAGTATTATACAATCAGCTAAAATAGAAAAATAACAGAAAACTATGAAAGCAGAACAGAAAAAAATATATAGAGCGTATAAATATATTGTTAAGGAGCGAAGAATTTATATTTTTCTTCGCTTTGGAGGTGGTAAATCCTTTCCAAACATTTCCTTAAACTTAATTTCGATGTTTCTCCGCTTTACAGCTGAACGATGATGCTTGGAAAGTATATGCAATTCCATTTGACCTCTTCCATAAACTACTGTGTTGCAGATGTTGCAGACCTCCTGTGATACAGGTCTCTTCGGTTCAATTGTAATATTATGAAGACAATCGGAAAAAAATAGTTTCTCCGCTTTTCCAGCAAAAAGCGCGTGCACTAATGCCACAATATCTTCGGAATGCTTAATTTGGGAAGAATCAATCTTCATAAAATGATGAGAAATAAAATCGTCTTTCAAATAAACCAACAACGTCTGAAATCGGTTAAGTAGCCATCTCTCTTGTTGTCTAGCATATCTTCGTGTGTTAGATTTTACCTGGTCAATTCCAGACTGAACTAAGCCCTGGAACTCTTCATTTAGTACATCCCCATGAATAAAAAGGTCCCTGAATTCCTTCAAACCTATAGTCTCCATTATGCTTGTTTGACGATTATTGCCCTCATTCCGTTTTTGGAATTCCATTACTTCTGATAGTAGACCTTTGCTTATCATAGCATCAACTCTGGCATTAAGCGACTCATATAATTGATCCCTCGGAAGCCAGAGACAAAGCACAAATGTCCTTTCCTTGGGAAAACGAAGTTCCACATTTTTTGATGAATAAATCTCAGATGGGAGCTTTTTTGTTTTCCTATGAATTGCTATCAGACGCCTTAATCGACGTTTGTCGTTAGGGTGGTAGCGAGAAGCGATTTGTGGGTCGATCCGATTTAATACATCCCAAAGCTCACCCTCTGCACCATCGTCGTTTGAGTGTGAAGTTGAGACTTTGTCGTCATCTTCAGAGACAAGGGTATTATTAAAGAGAATCGATTGCGCATAGTAACATGTCCCGCCACAAATAATAATGGCTGAATTACTATATACTGCAAAATAACGATTTATAAACTCTGTAACCTTGTCGACATAACAACGAATATCAAATCGTGAATTGGTTGAACTTTGAGGTATCAGAGAATGAGTCGATTCGCTATTGAAAAACGCTTCTACGGGATCGAACAGGTAAAAGTCATGGCAATCAAGGAATCCCAAAAATGCATGTGGTATATTTTTCATTTCATCAGATGAAATCTTGTTTGTAGCGATTGGGAGATCCTGGTAAAACTGCATGACGTCGCAGTTTATTATAACTACATTTTCATATAAATTTGTGTCTTTTAAAAATTTTGCCAATTCAACGGCAAAAGATGATTTTCCAGTACCAGTGCTCCCTAATATAAAAAAAATGGGATTCGACACTATGTTCTGATCCATCTAGAAGCACAAAAAAAAAAAGCTTAGGCAATTGGGAAAAAAAATAACCAAGGCTTCTGGCATTTCAATTATTGGAGAAAGCCCAAATGGTGTGAGAACGAATTAAAACGTTTCAGGGCTGATTTGGATTCATTTTAAGATGGAAAGCTGGTCTTAGGAATTAGTAAACCATAAAATCCGTTTAATCAATCCTACGAAGTTCATAGAACTAGTTACCTTGAATTATCATTAATGTTAGACCTTTTATCAGATTTTTCGAGAGTTTGACATGGATAATTCCACCTTTTTGAAAAGGTCTTTTTAAATATATCAGTTATATTATACAAAAGGATTCCGATAAATATAATAATATATGAAACTACGAAAAAGGGGGTCGGGTAGATATGAAACACGGAACTATTCCATATGATTGCGTATACGGACGCACTAAGAAGAGAAATATTTGCAAAAGCTGCACTTGCAAGTAGAAAAATAGAGGGCATGGCAGTGTAAACACCTAGCATAGTAACGCCAAACATAACCTGGTATACGTAGTCATTGCCTGTCCAATTTTTACGCTCAGAATAAAAGTCCTTCCATTCAACTGCAAAAAAATGAATAATAGAGAATATCAACGCAAAAAAAGACATTAAGGCAAGATATTCAACAATAGGTACAAATACTGGGACATCAGAATGCTCCTCATTTTCATTTTGAGGTAAAGACTCCTGATATTGATGCTCTTCTATTGCCCGAGACGAATATACTGTATCATCCTGAAATTGATCTGATCCGGAGTGAGTTGCCGTAGATGGAGGCTCATTCGAAATTGATGGGTGAGTTTTAGGGGGTTTAATAAACCATTCAGTTGTAACATTGTTCAAGGCATACAGAAAGGAGCCTAAAAGGCATAGTAAATCTCCAATAACTTGATTAGTTCCCCCACTAGAATGAGAAAGACCGTCGGCATCCAACACAACAAGCAAGGCTAACCCACAAATAGCAACAATGCACCCAAAAATATGAGTTAGAGCAAACTTCATACGCAATATCAAATAGCTCAAAACCAAAACGCAGGGCAGTGTAAAACAATTCAATAACTGCACCGATGCCAAATTCGTATAGTTATAAGCAGAAATGACAGCGTAATTGGCTTCCAAGTCGATCAACCCAAGGATAGCGTATTTCCACCATCGAGAAAGAAAGCGGAAGTTTACAAACTTCTGATTTCTGTATTTAATTTTAAGAATAATAAATGCTGGAAAATAAATGACAAATATGAAAAGATATGATGTTAGCGACTGAAAGATCGGATAGCTTACTGAGTTATTCACTAGTAAGGTTGACCAAAGACCCGTCATGGAAATGAAAAAAGAAAGTGCCTGGCCGAGAAAAATTCTTAGTACAAGCGCCCTCACATTTTTTAGAGATGTTAATGCCATGTTTTACAAAAAAAAAAGATTATGGCTATTCAAAAAATCCTAAAAAAAAGGCTAACTATAGAAAAAATGGATAAAGCTAAAAATTGAAACAACTCAGTTTTCGGATGAATAGAATTCAGATTTTTTGGCTGTAACCAAGATAAATCCGTAAAAAATGTCTAAAGCTTTGTTTGAAACACAAAAATAATGGCATATATAATATTCATACATGATCAACCGATAGAATACACGATTGAAAAAATATTAACTATAAAAACTGTACATATAGAGGACCAATAATCAGATTTAGTAGTAAAAAGATTGATACTACATCACTTTTTTCAAAAAGGGGTGAAGAGCATTGTTTAATAAATAAACTGAGCATTGAAGATTAACATTATAAAAAAAATGGAAAATAGAATTGTTGAAAATCAGCATTTAAAAAAAACATTAAAGTTCTAAACTTAAACAAAACTACACAAAGGAGACTCAGAACCTCGATCCCGACACCTAAGTCTGATCCCGTAGCTCGCCATCCTGAAAATCGAGTGATTTCAAACGGACCAAGCAACCATCCCCGAAAAAAAGGCAATGTGTTCTGGTCCACACTCTGCACATGTAATCATCCAGGGCTTTCACACTGAAATTTATAAATCTAAGCTAATCCCAAATCGACATTACTGAAGAACAACCACTCATTTATTGTAACTTGAGATAAAAATATGGACACCAGGTGGGCGAAACATATTTTTAAAAATATTTTTTTGAGGGCCTGTGGAGGAGACAGATGTGACGGTGGGAAATGTTGAACAATTCTAGGCTGTATTCTCCCTATTCATGTGCATAAAGCGCCACGTTTTCGTGCTGAGGCGAAAAGCGCTTCCATTCTTGCATCCCGGGCCCCCTATTACTTTCTGAACTCGCGGGGGGTATGCTGGGAACGATCTCACCCACACACCTTGCCCCCACCGTATGCGATGCCATCTATGAAGTATACGTTGTGCATGATCAAACCGAGGCCTTCCATTTTGCAATTTCCAGAAGGGAAATCCCCGAACCGCCCCAGGGATCAAAAGTGCCCCAGACACACCGGGGGGGGTGCGGTATAACAATGAACCCTCGGAAAGAGGACATCCCCACGGTATATGCCTGCCACATCTTCGTGGTGGCGCTGACCAGCAGCCAATTGGCGAAGCTAAGTGCCTACACGCTTTCCTGCTATCGGCTGGGGCACTTGGGCTTGGCTTCTGGCGCAGCTTGGGTTTTCGGCATGGCCTCCCCATAGGCCGTCTTATCGGATGAAACAGCCCGACTTGGCACTATTAACGCTTATCTGGTCACCAGGTACCGCTTAAAAAAAACTATGGGTGTTCAAGCCTTTCTTTTACTTTTGGGGGGCGCCCACGGGAACCCACCCACCCCTGGGGCAACGCAATCAAAAAAAATGGAAATGGACAGAAGACACTAACATTTTCAACATATATTTGCGTTTCAATTATCCAATGACCAGGTGTATAAAAAAGGAAATAATTTGCCGAATTTGTGCAATATTTACTGCCAAATCTTTGGGGGCAGCCTGGGGCGCTGGTCGCCAGCCGGTTGGCCCGAAAAGGCCCCATGGGGGCGGGGCAAAGCGCGTTGCAAAGTGACCTAATCTCTGGAATGAAATCATTTATCGTTTGTTTCCTGAAATCGTTAAACTGGTGTACTTTAACAATTTTTTTTTAACGTATAAATATGGAGTTTGCCCCGCGGCCCGCGTTTATGTTTGGGGGCATGGCGGAGTGCTGCCATGCTTGCCCATGGGGCGGGCCAGCTCCAAATTCGAGACGAGGCACGCATTAGTACTTATTTAACATAGGCGATTACCTTTGGTTGGCCTGCGGAAGAAAAGGTGCATGCATCTGTCCCCGTCCCGTGCGGTCCGGGCTACCAGGACCTTGCGGTCTGGGGGGGGGGGGGTCGCGGGGTTAAATTAGAACGCATGGTGTGGTATTTCGCAGATGGTGTTCCTAAGAAGTACCAAAGTGTGAAATAAACTGCATGGAGTGGAGATTCAGATAAGTCAATGAATGGGATCTGAGCTGGTTAAAGCCACTTACAGCGTTTCATTCTAATGGAAGAAAACCGATGGAACTGTTCAAGTAGCTTATATAGTTGCATCAGTTTATCACTGAGGGTGCCTTGTCATAATTTGAGTCCTTTAGACCAAGCGACTCACCTTATTAATCGTTGTAGTTCTACAAAAAAAAAGCCATGAACCTATTTTCATTTCCAACAAAGTTCCCCCAAAAGACTCTATCGGTAAAAATCAAAACATCTGTAATGACATAATTTAGCAATTACACTCACGTATGAATAGGTTTTGGTTTCCTTAAAGGTGCTTATTGCTACAACAGAATTTGCATAAAATAAATGCACATGTTTATCAAATACTTTATACATTATTTTTGACTTTTAATGTGTGCACTCATTCAGTGAGTAAAAAGAAGGGACTATTTGTAAGCGATTTATAACCAGTTGCATTTGCACCAAAACATGTACTACCCTTTGCTCTGCCACCGAAATTGATGCAATTTCTTTAGTGTCATTTTATACGATGCTTCCGATGATGAAACTAGCTGCGCTTTATTTGACATTAATTTCTGAGAAATGGGTTCCCTTAAACATGTGATAGATTTTGGTGTAAGGTAGTATATTCAAGTTTAAATTCTAGTATTATGTTGCATAGTGCAAAGGGAATTTTTTTAAAAAATATTATGGAAATCTCACGTTGCTTTTTTGTCGCAGATCACAGCTTACGACATAACTCTGGAATGTTATGAGCATGTTCCAAGAAACCAAATTGGTATATTTCTTCGTCACCTTCAACAATCTCTATTAAATGTGCATATCAATGACAAGAACAGAAATGTAAGATCAAATATGTTTTACTAAGCATTCTTATATAACTGCTTCTGTAATAGTTTCCTAAAGTGTCAAGAAAAAATAAAAAATAAGAAAGTGTTTGTATAGATATGTATACACACTAAAGTAGATCAAAACAGTTTACTAAATTCAATATGATGAAAAAAATAACACTAAACATCGTTTTAATCCCTTTAGGTTAAGTGCTCTTTATTCTCAGGCGAAGGTATTTAGTTTTGTAAATTACATAATTATAATAAACATTGTCGATGTGCTTACAACCCTTTTCCCTGAAATAAACTCAAGTCAAGAACTCTAAAGTGGAAAATCCACTGGTTGTACAGGCTCATTCAATACATTTTATACGGTTGCGCATTTCCTTCTCTTCATCATTCTTTTGTTTTTAAAGAATAGCTATGCAATCCAACGAACATGTCTGGTAACGTAAAATGGAAAAAATGTCGACAATAAAAGCTTCAACTTTATAATCCATTCTTGTCCATTATAAGAAAAAAATGCCATTTGTAGAAATTCGATAGTTGGTCGTTACGCTGCGTATACTCATTAATATATCTCGATTCAAATTTATTATAATACAACACTTATATTGCCCTAACAAAGTATGTTTCTTACGATTAGTAAAAATTTATACTTGAAGGAAAATCGTCTGTTTATTTATTTGTCATTTGATTACATTGGGATTTGCTTCTATTAATATATTGCATCCTCATCATAATAGTTTTTTTTATTGTCTGAATCTCTGATACTTCGAGCTGTCATGTGTTTTTTGTTCTTTCAATATGAACAGCTTGGATGATTCCTTTAGTTCTTTTTTATCTAAGGTATTTCTACTAATTCAACTTAAACTACATTATATCGAAATAAAAAGATCAAATGGGTCTTCTTACGCTACTTCGAAAACTGAAGAAAAGTGACAGGGAGCCTCGTATTTTGATTCTTGGCCTCGACAATGCGGGTAAGACTTCAATTTTGCGTAAATTATCTGATGAAGATCCAACAACAACTCAAGCGACACAGGGTTTTAATATCAAGTTAATTGAATGTGATGGGTTTAAGTTAAATATGTGGGATATTGGTGGCCAAAAGGCAATTCGTGCTTATTGGCCAAACTATTTCGATGAAGTGGATTGTCTAATATATGTTGTTGATGCAGCGGATAAACGGCGCCTTGATGAGACAGCGGCTGAGCTCGATACCCTTTTGAAAGAAGAAAAACTCCGGGAGGTTCCAGTGCTTATCTTTTCGAACAAATGCGATCTTGCAACTGCTTCATCACCTGAGCATGTTAGCACTGTCCTCAATCTGCATCTTCTGCGTGACAGGACTTGGTCAATTCAGAAATGCAGTGCCAAAACTGGCGAAGGACTTCACGAGGGGCTGAAGTGGGCTATCGAAAATACCAAAAAATAGACAGCTATAATTTAATCATCATTTGTTAGTATTAGTAGGAAGGATTTCTTTGTTCTTATGCAAACTACGTGTATATCGAAAAGCTGTGCTGTATATATCTGAATTTGTGGAAGTTGAGCATTATATATTAAAATATATACATATTAATTTAATCATCTGCATATGACTATTGTAGCTATCGATGCTGTTGTTGACGTTGCTTGATAATGATTGTATTTTCCTAATTTTCTTTTGAAAATTTTCACTAGTTGGTAAATCAATCCGGAATTAACAAGCCTTAGGCTTATCAAGCAATATCGACAACATGTTTCGGGTCTCCAGTTTTTTTAAGGCAGCATTTGTGTCCTTTAAGCCAGCTTTGGCCTCTTCTATTTCTGAGGAGGCGAAGACCAGACGAGCAATCGGGATCCGTACTAATCGACCAGTTAATGTTCAGATAGTTAACTCAATTGTGGAGAAGACCAATGGTGAAGGACTGGCTGGTATAGCAGCTACAATTGCCCGAGCTGGTCTTTATTTAAATCCTCGGAATCCGACTTCAGCCATGGAAGAAATTCATAATGTTCTCCCAAAGATTCAAGATGAGCCACTGAAGCAAATGGCAATTGGAATTGTTTTGCGTGCATGGAATGACTTGTTGGATGACAAGGAGGCTGCCTTGAGTGTTTCTGGGGCTGCTACTGAAGCTGAAGTATCCGAAATCCGAACGAAAACACTGGAAAGCTACAATGCGTTTAAAACTGCTTTTCCAGACTGCTGGCTTGTGAGGCTCGCGTGTGCCGAGTTTAATATGTACTTGGGAAAAAACGAAGATGCGTATAATGAGTTTATTCAGATCGAGAAGGACATTAAAAAGGCCATTGACACACCCTCAAAGCTGGTGAATGAAGTCGCTACGGATAAAAATACGAATCCCTTCTTACTGCTGGGACATCAACTCCTGCGAAATTCCACTCTTCAAAATCTGAAGTCGAAAACTGAGGGTAAATCGATTCAAGAAGAAATTTCAGGCTTAAGTAGAGATTCATCGAATGTGCCTGGCTTGGATGCCCTAAAGAAGGAGTTAGGTGGTAACCTAAGCGACGAAGAGGTCATTGAAATCGCATTCATCCTGTATAATGCTAACTTGCGTCATCACTTTCACGACTTTTTCCCTCTCAGGTCCGAATATGAAGACTGGGATTCTGCAAAGGCACAACGTGCAAAGAAGCTTATTCTTAATGCATATCAAGGCGTATGTACTGGTGATCTCGATGAAGTTTTAGACAAGGTTCGATCATCTGCGCCTAAGGAAACATTTTATGCACCCCTGCACAAACTGCAAGAGGTCCTGAAGACTTCACAAAGGGATAAGAGCGTCGTAAAGTCCATTCGTGCGGCTCTTGCAGATGGATCGGACGTTCATCTATCCAAAGATGGTGAGACTTGTCGTGACGCTATAAACATCATAAATAGCGTTGGAATGTCCCCAGAGGCTTCCGGTACGATACGTTATGCACAGCAACAAGCTGAAATTCTCAAGATACTTAATCAGCAGCTTTTATATCGTACGAAAGTTCAAATAGCAGTTGTTCTGAGTGAAATGAATCGTCTTCATGAGGCGGTACAGGTTGTTACTCCTGTTATCGATGCTGATGAATATATTTACATGTGGCGTGCCTTGCTAACACGTAGTCGAGCACACAAAGGATTGGGCCTTATCACTTTATCTGATAAAGATGCAAAGGTATTAAATAAGCTCAAAAGAAGTTTAGTAGCACGTCCACTTTACGAGGTAGCTAAGCAAGAATGTTAACTGCACTAGCCTAAATAAATTACAGTTTTACAGTATTGAATAAAGTGTATTGGTTACTCCCTTTCCTTAATACAATTACTTGTTTAAATAGGTAGGAATGCATTTAGAAACTTTCTCAATGCGAACTATTTTTTTGTTTTCCAATAGATAGTATGAATTATTATTATTTTTATTTTCACCCCATTGAATCGACTTTGCCTTCAAAACGCAGTAATTTTTTTCCCACACTTTTTTCAGACTGAATGCTTATTTTGCCTTTTTGTTGCCAGGTGGCAAAAGTTTTCTCTTTTTATATTAGCTTTTTATTCGCCTACCTTTACTTTAAGGTTTTAAAGCAGATATTTAGAGGAGGGACAGCAAATAGTGCAAGCACACTTACTCTAGCTCACATGTTTCTGAATCATTGACTGAACTCGAGTTTTTCTAGACGATATACAGTTCCCTAATGTTGATAAATGGCTATTCTGCCTCTAGGAATGGAAATTATATATGGGAATTATGTAGTCATAATAGTAGGCTCAGGCTGTGTCTTCTGTAGGCGGATTTTGCTACACGCTCACACACACTCCAGTGAATGTTATTCGTGTTGAAGAACGTACGATTATGACTCCTTTTCTTTGCTTCTATCATTGTCCCTGCTACTGTAAAGCTAGACGACTAAATATTTTCAAATTGATCCGCTTTGCTATTGCATCCTGTTTATTCATATATATATATATGTAATATATATTCTCTTAATACATCAGAATATTTCTGAAAGCCATATGACATGGAAATATTTATATGGACACTTTCCATTCTCCCCTCCTCTCCCCCCCTCCCTTCTTCTCAACTACCTTCAAGTTTCAATTAGACTTCACATCCATGTTTTTACAAGTAGTAAAATTAATTCCCCCAACACCTTAGTTCTAATGATGATCCTGCTCCTTCAATTGATGGGACTTTCAAAAAAATGGCCTACCTACTCGTCTGAAGAAATAGCACGTCATTGTACTCGAGAGTCCTTATGGATCGTTGTAGATAATTCTGTCTATGATGTTACCTCCTACCTAGGATCCCATCCAGGTGGGATTGAATCCCTCCTAAAACGTGGTGGGGGTGCAAGGGACTGCTCTGCGGACATGGCATTTCATACTTCAAGAGCACGAAAAATGCTAGAATCCTTCAAGATAGGTATCGTTGATCCAAACTGCCACCCTTCTAGGGCTTTAAACAATTTGAAGGAATCGGATCCCCAAAATAGCTGTTGCACGATTACACGTACTTCAAAGCAATCCATAACAGAACCCCGATTTATTCCTTGTATTAAGAATAAATATACTGAGGAAGCCGCTAGCCTAGACGAAACCATAAACCATAAAAATACCGTTTCATCGCCTTGAAATCACGATATAGCAGTTCCTGCATAGCTATTTGGAACGATCAACAGAGCTGGCTTTTTTAGTAAAAACTAGGGTTCTTGAAAAGATATCACGCACAGACAAAAATTTGTATTCAAAATAAATAAAAATCAATTGATATATATATATATATATATTTCTGTAACAATATAACTAGTTTTTCCGGCCTAATCATGCTGTCTTCTCCACATTTAAGGTCACTTAACTAACCTTATTATTTTTAGTAGACGTGGTTTGCAGAGCTCCAATTCATGAGGGATATGTTAAAATGCATTTATTTATTCTGGTATAAATACTAAATATATTACATGTTTACTGTTTTTTTTCCGCTACAACTT